GGGCTGCTGGCTACACCTCCGCTGCCTGCCCGGGAAACGCTAGCAGCAGGACAGCCTCCCCTTCCCCTCCCTGCTCTTCCTGGCCCTGTCCCGCTGCAGGAGGAGGCATCGGGAGCTGCTGCTGCTGCCGCGACCAAATGGGGGGAAGACGTCAATGTGAGCCATGTGTGTGCACCAGCACGAGAGCAAGCGAGTGAGCGTGAGCCCCAGCACCGCGGCGAGTGAGCGTGAGCCCGGATGAGCACGGGTGAGCCCCACGGCGAGAGCGAGCAAGCTTGAGCCCAGAATGAGCGAGCAAGTGAGAGCCCTACACAGATGATGACGTCCACAGCAAATAAGCGTAAGCCCCACAGCAAGCCGCCCTCCTCCTCCCCCCATGAGCGTGTGCCCACACCGAGTGAGCGGAGCACAGAGCTCCAGGAGGAGTGGGAGAGCGTGAACATGAGCTGACGGCGAGTCCAGACCCCGTTGGCGCACAGGCGAGCAGAAGGATGGGTGGCAGTGCATGAGCGCCCGCGTGCACCGGTGCACAGCAGCAAGCATGAGCAAGAGAAACGGCGGAGAGGGAGGAGAAGCATCCATCAGCACTGAACTGCAACAGTGAGCACGACCAGCGACAACAGGGGACCTGCAGAGCGTCTTCGGGGAGGCGCGAGCACACAGAGCAGGGGAGGGCTACGGAGGGAACATCCATGCGTCGGGAGCAGTGGGCCCACCGCCACGGGCGGTGTGTGCCGTGAGGAGGTTGGGGGGCACAGCCTACCTGTGGCGGCAGAGGGAGCGGGGCGAGCACGTGCGCTGGGGAGGGTCTGGGAACACGTGCACGGAGAGGACTGGGGGGCACATGAGATGCAAACGGTGGGGAGCGCCCGGAGCATTCAGGACATCGGAGCAGATGCTTCCAGGATGTCCGGCGCTGGGGGAGATGGGGACACTCCCAGCACGAGGAGTGGGGGCAATCTGGGATGCCAATAGTGCAGCGAGAGGGACGGGGCACGGCACACTGTGAATTTATGTGGTGTGGGTCCAGAGCAATGGCGGCTGTTCGCACGGGGTGACATGGTGCAACACGTACACGGACTTTGCGGTGGGCAGTTCCACAGACAGCAGACAGGGTGTGCTGAGCAATGGTGGCTGGAAAGCACATTTAGATGGGGAGGAGGAGAGAGGCCTGAGCCCAGCACGTTTACAGGGGCACCGGGGGCAGAGGAGCACATTTACACGGGGGACGGAGGCTGTCTGCGCTGGACATGGGGACCGGGAGCGTGTGTGTGCTAACAGCAAGGGGGGACTCACGGGCTGCGCTGACAGTGAGGGTGCGTGTGTGGGCAGGACTGCGTGCACGCTGCGTGGATGGGCGCGTGCGCGGCGTGCCAGCGTGCCGGGAGGCAGGCTGCAGTGCAGCCCGCAGAGAGGACGGCTGCAAACGTGCCCTGCACCGCCTGGGGCCCGCGGCTTTGCTGCCTGCCTAACGCCAACCCTCCCTCCCTGCCCCACAGCAGCACCGGGCGCGCTGCGCAGGGCACGCAGACGCGGGGTTCGGGTGCCGGAGAGAGCGAGGCCTGGTGCCACGCACTGGGCTCTGCACCGCACAGCTGGCGCAGCACAGCTGGCAGCCAAGAGGAGGCCCAGGCACCAGGGGCTTCGTGCCACGCTCGGGGGACGGGGCCCCACGGAGAGGAACACAGAGGTCACTGGTGCTGTGCAGGCACAAAGTGCAGCTCTCCCCTGCGAAGACCAGGGAGCTCTGCTCACGCACACACACACTACACACACACCACACACACGCACACGAGCGTACCCCAAGCACGCTCCTACGTGTGCAAGGAATAGCGTGCCCTCAGGCGCTCCCCCATGCACACACACCCCACCAGAGGCAGCTCTCGGCACCCCGGTCCCTGCGCACGCAGAAGGCTGCCTCTCTCCCTCCCCACTGCGCACACACACTCCTGCGGGGAGAGCCCCCACACCCGCTCTGCCTCCCCTGCCACCGCTCCCTCGCTGGCCAGCACAGCACGGCTCTCCTAGAGACCACCACACGAAAGCCCGTGGGGCGAGACTGCTGCAGATCCTGGCCTGATCCTCAGAAAACCCACCCCAAAGCTGCGCCGAGCCCCGTGTCGCTTACCGTGAATATGTTGGAGCGCCGCTTTGACTGCTTGCGGATGGGGGTGGGTGTGTTGGAGGCAGCAATGGTCTCGATCCGCAGCTCCCGCTGGCTGATGCTCGGTGTGGAGGGCACAGAGGAGGAGTAGTCACTGAAGGCTCCCCCACCGTTGGTGGCCTAGGGCAGAAGGAGACGGGACCGTCAGACAGAGACAGGCAGCTGCCCGGGAAATGACTGCGGAAACACCTTCCGCCTACGCAGCCCTGTGCACCGCGGGCAAGGAAGCGCAGCACGGGACTGGGACAGGGGAGACGTCCTACGCCATGCGCTGCTCGCGCCCAACTGGGGACCGTGGGAAAGCCCTCTCCCTTCTTTCCGCTCTAGTTTTTCCACGGGTAAAACGTTAAAGTTCTGAAACCAACAGTGAAGAGCAGCGGGTGGACAGAGACATGAGGGCTGGCTGTGGGCCGGCACCATGGGAAGCCCCTCCGGTCTGGAGCAAAGGCATGGAGGCAGCAGCGAGCCACCAGCCCTGACCTGCAGCAGCCGGCTCTGCTCAGAGGGGCAGGGCTGGGGACACTGCAGCGTGCGCCCTCTCCAAAACTCAGGACCGGTGCAGCGATCCCTCGGGCCGTCCGCCCGTGAGACCCCTCCTCTCTGCAGGGGCCGTCGGACATGAAGCTGCGAGGCAGCCCAGAGCCCGTCTGGCGCCAAGTCACGCTTGGCCCCTTCCCTGTCTCATGATGACTGCTACGACACCAACGGGCACGGCTGTCCCTACGACAAGCCCTCGCCCTTCCAGCGTCCTGAAGCACGGGGTGCCACAGGCCAAGCTCACGCTCGATGTAAAATGCATCTCTGCTGGTTTTGAGGTTTATCCAAGCAGAGCCCAGGGGTGGCACGCACCTCCCGTGCCTGTGGACCACCGTGGCCTTGGCTGCAGTGGCCCGTGTCTGGGAACACGGCGGGCAACACGCTGCATCTTCACCAACAGCTCGCCTGACCCCAAGGAGAGGAGAAGACCTCACCGGGCAGTTTGTGTGCACATTGCAGCAACACATTTCTTCCGGCCAAGAAGCTGCTCGCTCCCTTTCTGCTCACGCGGGCGCTGCGGGCAACGACCTGGAAACCAGTTTACCAGAGGTCACAAGGAGCAACACCTGCACGAGAGCATTTCCGACCTGCAGCCCAGGACGTCTTACTACGCCAAGGCACACGGCAGCCTGAGCCCCCTTTGGCAGTTCTGCTGATCTTTGAACAGTACTTCAAAAACCCGTGGAAGAAGCTGCCCCGGAAGGCCCAGCGAGCTCCGGCACCCCGGGCAGGGCGCAGCCCGCCGCCTCCCAGTTCCCAGAGCAGCAGCATCCCATGGCCACGGGACTTCCTCTGCTCCCACCCACTGCTTAGAGCACCAGCGGGGTGAGGATCTGGCAGAGGTGCTCAGCGAGAAAATACCCGTGTGCAGACGCCGTGCCCGGCAGGATCTGAGCCTTATTCCGAGACAAGCAGTTAGGAAATATTAGAAGCGCGAAGGAGGCTGCGCAGGCAGAGCAGCCACCGCGACCCACAGCCCAGTCCCCTAGAAAGGGTGCGACCCTCACTCAGGCTGCGGATCGTCTCACCTTTGATGAGAGAAATGGGAGAAGATGCACAAAAGAGAACTTTTCTTAAGAGAGGAAAGAGCTGTCCCACGCATCAGCCCAACTTCTTCCTCCCTGCGGCAGAGCGAGGGACTCCTGCCCGAGCGCAGCCAGGTGCGCTGTGGGGAAATCCCACTCTGGAAGGGCTCCGAGATGGACCTTCTTCCCAGCCGCATTCAGGGAGCTGCCAGCGGCTTCTGGGACATCACAGCGCCCCGACTTGCCGGGGCTACCCCAGGTCCCGCAGCAGCTCCGCAACAGCGTGCCTGCAGCACGGTATCTGCTGCCTCAAGTCAGAGCAAAACGCCCTTCCACAGGGGGGAGGGGAAGCCCGTGGGGAGGCACGCCGCCCTGACAAAACATCCTTGAAGGCCACCGCCTCCGGTGGGTCGGGAAGACCCCAACCCCATGCTGGAGACAGGGCAGCACCAAGCGACAGGTCCTCTGCAGCCCGTCCCGCTTCCTGACCGCTCAGCGGGAAAGGGAACCTCTTGCCAAAAGGGACGCGGGGGCCGAGCTCCCGCCGCGCTGGCAGCACGCAGGGCACACAGCGTGGAGCGGGAGGCCATGGGGATGCTCTGCGGCTTCCACAGAAGGCTCGCTGGGAGCAGGTGACCTCCCTGCCAGCACGGGACTCACACTGTCCCAAGCCTGTCCGGAGACGGGAAAGCTTCGGGCACCCCGAAATGCAGAACGAGCGGGAACCCGGTCTGCCTGTACTCCCCTGCGTGTCCAGGGGGCCGGGCGCTCCGTCCGGAGAAGGGAGCGTCGCCAGGGAGCTGCCCCGCAGGCTGTCCGCTGACTCTGCGCTGAACGAGGGAGTTCTGCTGCCGTGTCCCAGGGGAGGGGGCTCCACCAGGGACATGGAGAGGCAAAGCAACGTGCCACCCCGGCAGTGACTCCTGAACCATTAACAGAGACAGATTCAATACCGCGTGAAGAAGTGCTCTGCAAATGCCGTGAAGAAGGCACAGCCGCAGGAAGACAGGGCTACCGAGTCCCAGAGAATTCGCTGAGAGCGCTCAAGTTTAGGGTCAGGCATAACCGTGCCTGTGCAATCAGCATCTAATTGATGCAAAATGTGTGAACCACGTCAAAAAAAAAGGAGATTCAAAGCGTGAGGGAAGAGACGGCTGCGGCTGCCCCACTGACCCGGCTACCCAGGAGGGTGAGCCAGGCAAGGCTGCCGGCAGTCCAGAAGCCACTCTGAGGCAGTCTCCTGGCCGAGCTCGGGGTACCTCAGTAACCTCGTCAGCACGTTTATGAAGCTGCAACCGAGGGAGGGATTCAGTTCAGAAGAGGCCGTAGAGTTTGCGCTCCCGCCACAGCAGCTGGGACAAACCCTACCGATGCTGAATGATGGAGGCTAAACCTCCGAGGAAGAAATCTTGCTAAACTGTGGTTTATACTTCACACACTCCCTGTAACCTCGTTTGTAATTTTTGCCTGGCCAGAATAATTTTCCTTAGCCCGTAAGTTTGCCTGGTGTTGGAGACACATCAAGGTCACTGTCTTTCTTGAGCGACAAGGCAGAAGGGCTAGAAGGGCAGCGGAGCTGTGAGGGGTCTGGAGGACACGTCCCGTGAGGAGCGGCTGAGGGCCCTGGGGGTGTTCAGCCTGGAGAAGAGGAGCTGAGGGGAGACCTTCTTGCTCTCGACAGCTCCCTGAGAGGAGGGGGGAGAGAGGGGGGGGCTGACCTCTTCTCCCTGGAGACAAGTGATGGGACGAGAGGAAATGGGTTCAAGTTATGTCAAACGAGGTTTAGACTGGAGATAGGAAACATTTTTTCACTGCAAGGGTTATCAAACATTGGAAGAGGCTGCCCAGGGAGGGGGGGATTCGCCATCCCTGGAGGTGTTTAAAAAAAGGGCAGATGTGGCACTTGGGGATGTGGTTTAGAAGTAGTTTGTCAGGTTGGGTTAATGGTTGGACTTGATGATCTTAAACGTCCCTTCCAACCTCAGCAATTCTACGATTCTGTGATTCTATGACAAAGGACACAACCCTTTGAGCCTGCTGGTGTCCCACAGACACCCAAACCTCAGGAAAGGCACTGGGGCCGAAGGACGCCTCGCACCAAGCTAGAACGGCTGGCGTGAGGGCTGGCGCCGTCCCGCGAGTTTGGGGGCAGAGGACAAACACCCCCAGAGGCAGCCAACAGCGCAGCCTCCGCCTCCGCAGGCGCTCCTGAGCCACCGCAGCGCTCAACTGAAGCGGACCGCTGCGAGGTGCCGGCCGGGATCCAGGGACGCAGAGCACATCGCAGGGTGCGGGAGGACCCTGACAGGATGACACGTCTGGGCAAATACCTCGTTTTTGCTCCTGGCAGCTACTTTGCTTGTCCACCTGAACAACCACCTGTGGTCGCTATCGAAACCGAAGAACACAGCGGAAACCAAAAACTTAGTAAAGAGTCCTTCCCGTTAGTGTGTAACGGGCGGATATCGTGGAGTTCAAAGAATATCGACAGTGCCCTAGGGCGCCTGAGCAGGGAAGAGCTCGGCTGAAGTTAAGCTGTAGTAGCTCTTGGCGTGAAAAGGCATGAGGCAGGACAGGGAGTGAGATTTGCGAAGGGCTCTGAAAGGCAGAGCACAAACGAACCGCAGCCACTGACCCAGCGTCTGCACGGGACCAGGGGAGAAGCCCGAGGAGAGCACAGAGCGTGGAACGGAGGGCATCGCGAGCTGAGCGGCTGTGGCATGGGGGCTTACATGGGGAAACGCAAACACCCGTTGTTGCTTCAGCTGCCGAGACACACGCGCTGACCGAACTCCGCCGAAACGTGCTGCGACAGGCAGGGAAGCGCTCGCCGCCGAGCAGAGGTGAGCTGCAGTTTGCGCCTCATTTCACTTGCAAACTCTTACGTTTCCAGTCCTTTCATCTGCTCTCTCAGTACAGCCTCGGTAAAGGCCCTTCCCGGTGCCACCAAAGAGCCTGTGCCCGACCGCAGACCCAGGCCGTCAGAGCGAAGCCGTGACGCCAGGAGGGCAGATGAGCGGGGCCGGGCACGGCCATGCACCCAGGCAGTGCTGCGGGACAGTGGCTCCCACGGCCCACGGGACGGCGCAGTTCACTCCACTGGCGTGCCGGGCTCGGCGCGTGTGCCTGCGTCACCTCCTGCCGGCTGCTGGGAACGAGCTCCCTGGCAGAAAGACAAACTTCCATCCCACAGCAAACAGGCGACGGTGACTCATCCCACGGCCCGGGGTACTCCCCGAGGCACCGCTGAGTCCCCCGGGAGATGCAGAACGGGGCGGCAACACTGAGGAAATCAGGTGGAATAACTCTGGGAGTGCGGCAAGCACCCGCCGGCCCGAGAAACCCCCACCCACGCTGCAGGCAAGGGCCAGGCAGCTGCCAGGAGGGAGCGGGGCGAAGCCACGGGCAAGGCGAGGAACGGGGCTCCCAAACCCATCGAACCTGCTCGCTCAGCGATGGGTGCGGGCAGGACACGGCAGAGGAGAGCCTGAACCAGCAAGCGAGAAAGAGCTTTCCTTGGGGGCTGCGGGGCCCTGAGAGACCCGAAGTGTCTACTCA